GCACCAAGAGCTTGTAACACTCCAAAGAGAAAGGAAAAATTGAAATCGCATGATATGACCCCTTTAATGAAGTATTGATACGAATACTACTGGTGTGTGAACTATACAGATGAATCTTTATTCAAGCTACAAAAGTTAATCAGCGACTAGAGCAGTCCAGTGATGTCTCTTTTTCTTTTGTTCTTCGATTTACATCAATCACAGACTTTAGCAGGTTTCTCACGGGACACTGCACTTATTCACAATCACAAAAGTAAATTTTTTGCATCTGCTTTAAAGCCTTTCTGGTTAAACGTTTCATTCGTGTGCTGTTCTTCAGACGAGCGCGCACGAAAACGAAAAAGCCCGTCAAGCAGTGCCTGATTACTGAACTAAGTTATGTTTTGTGCTAATACTGTCAAAACACACAAGGCTTATGTATAGACTCGGTTATGTCTAAAATGAAAGTAAACAACTGAGAGAAACGGATGCGTGCTTGTATATTAGATGCATGCAGGTCTTAAAGGGATAGTAGGCTATGCTGCCGACTGTAATTAAAGGGATAGTTCACTCTAAAATTTTATTTCTGTCATTATTTTTTCACTCACGTGTTGTCCCAAACCTATATTAATTTCTTTCTTGTGCTGAACACAAAAGAAGATATTTTGAAGAATGTGGGTAACCAAACAGTTGCTGGTCCACATTGAATTTGATAGTAGGAAAAAAACATACTATGGAAGTCATGTGGACCAGCAACTGTTTGGTTTTCCACCTTCTTCAAAATAACATTTATGTTTAGCAGAAGAAGGAAACTCATTCAGGTTTAAAACAACTTTTGAGTGAGTAAATGAAGGTATAAAAATAAAACACTAGCCTATTTTAATTTTTGGGTGAATTATTCCTTTGATGTTAATAAAACACCAAGCACAAAGAGAAAAATCACTCAATACTCTTGTCTGAAAAACTTTAATACAGTTGCTTTAATAGGAATCAATGTATATAGTGTTTTATTTTTATATTTGTTCATTAAATTTTTTGAATGCTCCTGCTAAATACACCTATTGTAGCCTATACCTGAAAATAAAACGGTTTATTTTATTTGTATATTATGTGTATTTGTAATGTGTATCTTTGTTCTTATTTTTTAATAACAAAGATAAAATAATTACAAAGATTTTTATCTTCACCCACTTTGGCCTAAATATCCGCCATACTTTTTAATATTTTGTTACCTTGAAAGTCTTTATAATAGGGAAATTAGTTTGGCTGTAATGCTCAAACAGCTTGCAAAATAGAAAAATCAACATGACAAAGAATCGTGATAAAATCGTGAATCGTAATATTTAAAAAAAAAAAA